CATAGCCATTGGTGCCACATTTGTGGCTCATAGCTCCATCGGTGGGCTGTGGGCCCTTGAAGACCAGCTCTACCCCATGTTTCAGTCTAGCTTGCCTTACTGCTCCTCTGTATCACAGTCCAGCACTGGCTGTGGAGAAATGTGACCTCAGTTCACATAAAGCCATACTGTGGAGCTGTTGAGAAAAGGAAAATATGAATTACATTAAGGAGCCGTGAGGACTGACACGTGCAGGTTCTCCTTTCCCCTTCTGAGGTTTGGTGGTGGTAGTGGTGGTGGTTTCTGTTCTCCTTCAATTAATCCAAAACAGCCAAGGTGTTCCGTTTTCACTTGGGAGTTCAGTGCATATTCAAGACTTTTTTTTTTTAATGAAAGAAAGAACACCAAGCCGCTGTCAGGTGGTATACCTGAGTTTTGTTTTGTTTTATACCAGTATGGCAAGAATGAGCTATTGATTTTGGCCCCTCCCTCTAGGCATAGGCTCTCTATCTTATGAGGAAGGGAGTATACTCTTATACTCCCTCCCTGGCCCTACACTGTGGTCCCCAAGGGAGGAGAGACTAGTTTTTGGCTGGAGAATCCAGAGGGAAATCTTGGAGGAGGCTGAGTGCGTTCATTGAAGGTTCACCAGGCTTTCATTCTGTGCCTTCCTGGGCCAAGGACACCAAACCCAGCAAGATATATCTTCTATGGTGGGGGCAGGGCAGTGGGTGAGGATGGGAACAATCAGAGGCGGTAGGCCATGGGCTGGTTAGGCAGAAAACCTGAGGTCCTGCTGCATCTTGTCCTGGTGGTCCTTTCCTCTGTCAGAGTCAGGGCGAATGGTGTGTAGACAGGGCTTGAGGGGTGTGTTTGAGAAATCAGCATCCACACTTGGACCTGTCCCCAGAAGGGTCAATCTGTAACTCAGCCATGAGAGAGAAGAGCTTGAGATTTGGAGGCCTCTACTGGGCCACTGAGGATAAAGAAAGGCAATGTAAATCTAGGCCAAGGTCAAAGTTTATAAATGCCAGAGGATCTATATCTAGTCTCAACCAGAACACTAATATTTGCCCTTGCTAGGTAGGCACTGTACCACTGAGCCATGCCTCCAGCCCTTTTATGCTCTGAGTATTTTTGAGACAGGGTCTTGCTTCCTGCCTGGGGATCTGCCTATTTCAGATTTCCTACGAATGCTAAGATAACAAGTATGTATCACTCACTGTACACAGATCTCAATTGAGAAGGGGTTTTGTGACACCTTAATCCTCCCAGTCTTTTATTTTTATTAATTTTATTTTTTATTTTTTTTGGTGCTGGTCGTGGGGTTTGAACTCAGGCTCTGGGCACTGCCTGTCCCTGTGCTTTTTTGATCAAGGCTAATGATCTACCACTAGAGTCACAGCTCCACTTCTGGCTTTTTGGTGGTTAATTGGAGATGAGTCTTGTGGATTTTTCTGCCCAGGCTGACTTTAAACTGAGATCCTCAGATCTCGGTCTGCTGAGTATCTAGGATTACAGGCATAAACCACTGGTGCCTGATGCTGTGCTGCTGGTTAATTTGTGTTTTGTTTCTTTTTTTTTTTTTCTTTTTTTTGGTCGGTTGTGGGGGGCCTGAACTCTGGGCCTGCACGCTGTCCCTTAGCTCTTCAGCTCAAGGCTAGCGCTCTACCACTTGAGCCACAGCACCACTTGCAGCTTTTTTTCTGCTTATGTGATGCTGAGGAATCGAACCTAGGGCCTCATGCATGCAAGGCCAGCACTAGACCACTGAGCCACCTTCCCATCCCCAGTGTTTCATTTTTTGATATATGGTCTCAATATGTGTTCCAGTCCTCCTGCTTCCAGTTCCACCTCCCAAGTGCAGGGATTACAGACACACACTACTATGCATGGCTACATTTTAATTAAAATGTACTTTTTAATATCTTGCTTCTTTTGCAAGATATAATTTCTGAGAAATCCACCCATGTTTGTTAGGTATATACACGTCTTTCACATAAACTCTTCAGAATTTTATTGTGCATCACTTTACTATTTTTTAATACAATTTTGTTATTATTAAGATGTACAGAGGGGTTACCATTTCACAATCCAAGTAATCCATACATTTCTTTTTGGGACAATGTCATTCGTTTGCTTTCCCCTAGTTTCTCCCTCTTTTTCTGCCCACAGATTCATACTTTCATTTTTTTATTTTCACTTATAATTCTGGGACTTGAAATCATGACTTCAAGTGTTTTGCCTCTTGAGCCATGCCTCCAGTCCTTTTTAATTTTGTTATTTTCAAATAGAGTTAAATTTCTACCAAGAGTGGCCTTGGCTTTCTTGTTTAGGGATGATGCTGTACCCTTTTAGGCATGCCTCCAATATAGCATTTTGTTAGTTAATTGTAGATGGAGTCTCAAGGACTTTTCTACCTAGTCTGATGCTCCTGATCTCAGCCTCCTAAGAAGCAGAATTACAGGTGTGAACTTTTTAATCATGATCCTCCTATCTCCACCTCAAAATTTGATATTTATACAGATTGTTCAAGAACTGTTTTTTAAATGTAGAGGAGACCAACCCTGGGCTCTGCCTTGAACATGCTTGAATTTGTCCATGTATGTGTGCATTCATCCATGTTTTTTCTATCTAAACACTTGTTAAAGCTCCAAGTCTCTTGAGATTGTGTTCTCACGCCTGTATGGAGTCGGTCTCCTGGGCACGAGCACATGTCTGAAGAAGAGGAACTGGGCCAACCCCAGAGGAAAGCCTCAGGGCCCACCTCCTTCCTTTCTCTATTCCTCCTCCTCATCTTTGACCTTTCCTGATCATGAATCATGGGCAGGAGATGTGTTGGCACTCAGTGACCTAGGTGACAAGGACTGTTGAACAACAGCCTTCATATTCTGTGCTGACAATTACCCCCCACTTTCAGCTACATCCCAGACGTACCCAACCTGGCAGAAGTCAGGACCACTGAATGTGTTGAAATCTCACCAAGAAAAACAATTCTGACTCCTTGTATTTGCAGAACACTTTGTACTTTAATGTACTTGGGCCCGGTGGGAGAGAGAGGAATTCTAGCCGGCTGACACCTTGAAGGAGCCCACAGTCTGCTTGAGGAAATGTATGAACAAATAGGTAGAAGAGTAGCGAGGGCTGGGAAGGTGGCTCAGTGGTAGAGTGCTTGCCTTGCACGCATGAGGCCCTGGGTTTGATTCCTCAGCTCTACATAAGCAGAAAAAGAAAAAGAAAAAAAAAAGCTGGAAGTGGCTCTGTAGCTTAAGTGGTAGAGTACTAGCCTTGAGCTGAAGAGCTGAGGGACAGTGCCCAGGCCAAGAGTTCAGGCCATGACCAACTCCCTCCCCCCCAAAAAATAAGACAGAAGTGTGTGAAGTAGAGACCTAAGGAGGCCCTTAGCAGTTGACTCTTCCAGAACATCAGGAAGGACTTCATAGAGGAGGTGGCTTTGGTGATTAGTGACCTGGGGAGGACCTACTGGTGGCACATTCCAGGCTGAAGAAGCACCTTCAGCACATCAGGAAGGCAGCCCCTAACCAAGACTTGGGAATGAAGTTGGATGTGGATGTAGCAGGTAGGTTGGGAAATAGTGGCGGATGACAGGAGTGGACCTTATCATTCAATAAAAGGACCACTGGGGAGTAGAGTAGGCTCCCCCTTCAGTGTGAAGGATGGGTTAAAGAGGAAAGAGACTAGAGGCAAGAAAGTCAGTGTAGTTAACCCCATTCGGAAGAGGCAGCCTGCAATGAGGTAGTGGGAGAAGGAGAGGGGAAACTTGAATGTTAGTAATGTCTGCTCAGTCTTCAGCTGGATGTTGGGTAGGAATTAGCTTCAGGCCTGTGTTCTTACCCATTCATGTACTAAGTTATCCTCAGCACCTACTACATGTAAGGTAGTGTGAGAGGCATAAAGAAGTGTGTGTGTGTGTGTGTGTGTGTGTGTGTGTGTTGGAGGAGTATTATGACTCATATACTGGGTAGAGCCTTAGAAAAGGTGCCTTTAGGTATGCAAACGATATTTTAGGAATCTGTCCCTTTCCACCATATTTCATTTCTACTGTGTGTGGTCCTCTCTCTTTTCTTAATATAAGTTTGGCAATGCCTTCTTTGTTTCTTGACTTTTTTTCTTTTTGGCCTTGGAGCTATACTTTCATGAATAAAATTTTTCATTAGAGTTTTAAAACTTCACATGACATAAAATTGTATCATTTTTATTATTTTAACCATTTTTAGGCGTATATATTCACATCATATAGGCATGACTTTAAGTGGATCTTCTCTTGAATTTCCAGGCTTACCTCTAGCCCCAGCTCTGTACCCCCAGTAAAGAGAGCAGCAATTCCAAAACTGGTTCTTACTGGCCTAGATAGGGCCAGGTGCTCACCTTTTCCCAGTCACCCTGTTCCTGTGGCCAGCATAGGCTGCAGGAAGGCTGGTCAGAGGGAAAGCAGGTGGTGTTACCAGGTGGGCTGAGGATGTCAGGGAGGCAAAAACAGCAGGAGTCAACTACCACGAGCGGATAGAACACAGGTCACTTGCTCCTGAGACCGACAGTTTGTTTGCAGGAGGAGAGCACATAGGATTCTGTGGAACCCAAGTCGCTGCTCTGGCAGAAAGACTTCTTTGCCTCCCCCCCCCCCCCCCCAAGCTTCTAGATGTTGGGGAGGAAGAATTGGGCTGGCCATGGTACAATGTAGAAGCACCTGGAAACTGGATACTTCCTTATAATAACCAGGAGTGGCAAGAAGGGCTTCCTGGGGGGCTGGGTCCCCACATAGGACCTGAGTGCCTTCTCTGGACCCATTGCTTGCTCCCAGCTGCTGCTAATACCACCATCGCATTAGCTTTTCCTTCCGCTCCACAGACCTCTGCCTGCTGCTCCAGAACATAATGTCCCGTTGGACACACTCCCCTCTCCCTTCCCTTCCCTTCACCCCTGCCTCCTGGGCCCATGGTTAGGGCCTGGAGTCAGGGCCCCAATCAGGACAGGTCTGAGGTGCTCTCTTCCTCCCACAGGCCTTTCCCTGGAACGCCTGCCCAACTCCATTGCCTCCCGCTACCGCCTAACTGAGCGGGAGGAGGAAGTGGTCGCCTGCTTCGAGAGGGCCTCCTGGGTGGCTCAGGTGTTCCTGCAGGAACTGGAGAAGGTGAGCTGGGGTGGCACAGCATGCAGCGGCTGCTGTGTGTTGAGCAGGAGTATCTGTAGCCCAAACTCTGTGCAGATTCCCCTGTGCAAATTTGAAGGTCACATCCCTGTCCCAAGACACTACTTCATTGGTTAGAAAATTCATTGCAATACGCTGATTCTGTCAGAAGCAACTCTGCCACCACAAAGCAGTCTTAATAAAGAAATGGTCCTTGTCATGTGTGAGGGGTCAGGGACTCTGGTAAACTGAACTTGTAGAACCAAGTGTAACGGCCTTGTTTGCACTGTTAACCTGGGAAGGAGGAGCTGGACATCTCCCTGCTCAGTGGGTTAGGTTTAGAGGGGTCCCATCATTTCCCTGCCCCTCTTCTGTGGAAAAGCTGGAGCAAGGCTGGTTCTCACAGTGAGGCATCCTTCCCTGCTCCCAGATGTCCCGAAAGTGCTTTGCCAGGCCCACAGGAGAGGTGGGCCTTGAGTCCCATTCTCCAAGCCTTTCAGAAACAGGCAAAGAGCCAGCTAGAAGACCTCTGCTAGTTCTCAGGCCTCTCAGTCCCCAGTTTCACCTACCTGAAGCATGCCAAGTACCCCAGCTCTCCTTGATGAGGTGCTCTAGTTTCCTGAAGGGAAGACAGATGACTTGGTCCAGCAGAGACCTTGTTAACATGTATGGAAAAACTTCACACTATGTACATGAAGTAAGTGCGATTGCTGTTCCCATTTTATAGGTGAGTTAAGTTGAGCTTGGAGAGGAGTTACATAGCTTCCCCAGTTCATACAGTTAAAAAGCAGTCCTGGCAGGAATGCCTGGACATATTAGATGATGGTCTCTAGCAGAGAAGATCATGATTGGTGCCCTGACAGAGGAGTTGGATGTGAGCTGAGAGGTGCAGAGTCAAGGAGACCCCTGTGCTTCTACTAGGTAACAAATGCCAGAATTAGCCCAGTACCTGTTTTGGTGATAGGCCTTTCTGAAGCTGTTCACTCAAGCCAGACTTTTCCCATAAAGCAGAGCCTCCCCAACCTCAGCACTTCTAACAATTGAGTCATTGAGTCTGGATTGTTCTTAGCAATGGGAACTGCCCTGTGTAGTATAGGTAGTTAGCAGCATCCCTGCTTCTATGACAGGTGCTCGTGGTGCACAGCCCCCTCTGGATACTACCAAAAGAGGACAGCTATCTCAGAAGACAGATCCACCCCCTCTCCTGTGGAGAGCCACTACCTAGGAGTCCTCTGCTTGACTGAATGTCAGGAAGAAATGACTAAATACAGGACTCAAATGCCTGTTCCCTGGCAGAGGACACCTGGAGACTTGGTTGGCCTTCATCCTCACCAGGGCCATTCAGATCACTGCTAAATAGCAATATTTTAGGAGTTATTTAAATTTGTATTGTTTGTGGCTTGAAGAAGTTTTCATGGAAAGTGAGGGAAGCTTCCCTTGGGCTTTTAAGGGGAGTTGAGCATGTGCTCACTGTGTAGCTAATGCTGTCTGGAATGTGTTATCCTCCTGCCTTGCTTCTTGGATGTGGGGACCACAGGTGTATGGCTGTCTATGAAATGGGAATGGCGACAGTTCCTAATGGATTTGTTCTAAAGGTGAAGTGAGCTAATGAACCGAAAGCTCTTGTGATGCTGAATACATGTGGGCTTGTGGGCAGTCAGCATTTGGATGAGGAGACAGGTTTTGAATTAAAAATGAGTTAGAGGCTGGACACCAGTGGCTCATGCCTATGATCCTAACTACTGAGAAGCCTGAAATCCAAAGATCATAGTTTGAAGCCAGCTTGGTCAGGATGTCCATGAGACTCTTATCTCCTGTTAACCACCAAAAAGCCAAAAGTGAAGTTGTGGCTCAAATGGTAGTACACAAGCCTTGAGCAAAAAAGCTCAAGAACAGTGCCCAGGCCTGAGTTCACACACACACACACACACACACACACACGCACACACGCACTCACGCACGCACGCGCGCGCGAGAGCTAGGTTGAGTTTTTTCGGTTGAGTTTTTTCAGCCTTGAACAGCATGCTTGTGGAGTAGAGGTGGGGCCATTGACTCACCCTCCAGGCCCCTCTCCCTCCCAACTCTGGGACAATGACTCCTCTCTGTTCCCTTCCCAGACCACAAACAACAGCACATCAAGGCACCTGAAAAGCTCTCCCCCTGTTGACTATGAGCTCTCCTACTTCCTGGAAGCTGCCCTCCAGAGTGCGTTTGTGAAGAACCTGAAGAAAGGGTAGGTGTCCAGCGGCTGAGCAGGACCTGGACATTCCTTTCTTGGCTGGGTATATTCTCATGTTCCCAGAGGATCGTTTAGGGCTGGCTTATGTCACATCTTGTCAGTGGCAGAGGGCCAGATTCCTCTAGTTGCTGCTGAAACAATAAAACCTGGACACTTGTGGGAGAAGCCACATCCAAAGACACAGTAGTGACTCTCTTCAAAAGGGTGTGCAGGAGCTGGAGAGCTGGCCAGCTTGTGCTGCCTGCTGGTGGCAACTGCCACTATTTCTCTTCTCTGAGACTTGGGTTCCCCGAAACTCAAGTAAGAATGCTGATTCCTTTTTGTTCCAGCTTGAGAAAGGACAATGAGGTGTGAGGGAAAGGATGGTGACAATAAAGCCTGGCATCATTTTTGAGGTGCTACAGTAGATGAATGAGCAGTAAGTTTGCCTGTGCATTGTGTTGAGGCTCCATACCTTAGGTATGGCTGGTGTGAGGCACCAGGCCAACAGTGGTGATTCATGGTGTAAGTTGGATAGTGGTAGTGGGGGAGAATCAGGAGAGCACCAAGCATTCAGCCCAGCCAGTCAGCCATGCCCTAATCCAGGTAGGGCTGGGGCATTCCTGGCTGTCTCTAGCAGAGATATGGGGCCTCCTCAGTCCTTCCTCTGTATCATTATAATCCTCTGCTGCAGTCTTTGGGCTCAGGCTGGAGGATGTCAGTGGAAGAAAGGACCCTTGTGTGCCTAGAGCAGCCCATCTCCATGGGAAGGGAGAGAATGGTGGGAAGAGAACCCACCATGGTTGGTGGTTGGCCCAGGCAGATAATTTCTCCCTCAGGGTGGCATAGCCCAGGGTCAGGATCACGTGGCTTCCTTTTCGTTGACTGCCTGGAGGTCTTCTAATCTTGTGCCTCAATTTTAGTATAATTTGTTTTTTTTTAATGTCACTTTATTGTGTTCATTTGACCTATTTTTGAGCAGATGATAAATTGATTCTTACACATATTTGTATAGTCAGAAAAACAAACCAACAACTGTTTTCTACTCTATATTGTTAACATAGACCATACCAGTGAACAAAAATGGGTTTTCCCCACCCACCACTAGTGATATTCTCCAGTCCCATCAGGGGGGTCCTGAGACTAACCAGCAAAAGCACAGGTCCCACAGGCACAGTACTACAGTTCCACAAGGCTGTCCCAGTTTCAAAAAGCAGGTCCCCAGCTTACCCTCAAGTTCTGTCTGACTTGGCTGCAAATCAGATGCTCCCACAAACCCTTCTAGTAATTTGCTAGAGCAGCTCAAAGACTCAGGAAAAGAATTTGCTTCTTAGGTTCTGGCTTCTCATAAAATGCTAGAGCTCAGGAATTGCTGTACAGAAGAGACGCATGGGCAAGGCACGGGGGAAGGAACCTACTGCCTCCATGCTGTCTTTGGCTATGCCACCTTCCATGCGGCTTGCAACCCAGAAGCGCTCCAGAACCAATGTTCCTGTGCTTTTATTGAGACTCTGTTATGTACACATGACAGATGAAACCATTAGCTGTTAGTAACCTTCACCTCTTAGCCTCTCACAGTGACTTGTTGATCAGCTGTTGTGGATAATCATTAATGTTTTGACATCTATGATGTCTTATCTTTTTTTAATATCCATTATTTATATTTTTTAGTCTTACAGTGTATCATCATAGACTAGTGTCTATTTCTGCACAATAGAATTTTTGAAGTCTAGTCCTCTAATCTAATTGTCATTATGTATCCTTTGATCAACATTTCAACATTCTCCCATCCAGTCGCCTCTGGTTGATGTCTATCTTTTCTGTTTGTCTGTGTGGATACACAGATGTAATTATTTCTGTCTTTTTGATCATGTAATATTTGAATTTTATTATTTTTTTCTTTTTTAATTATCTTTAAGCTGTTGTACAAAGGGGTTTCAATTCATTGTGTCAGTTTATGAGTACAATGCCTCTTATCATTGTCACCTGCTTCCATTGTTCTCCCCATCTTTCCCAACCTCAACTTACCCCATTCCATTTTCACATGTATGTTGAAATGTATGACTATATTTTTTCTTTAAAACAACAAAATATCCTAAAGTGAACGTTGCTTGTAGCCTGTCTTCTCCTACCATGCTATGGTTATGATCCTCTTTCCTTTTCTCAGGAAGTTGCCTGCTGTGAGAGGGTGGGTGGAGAGAACCTTAGCTGAGCCTATAGCCTGCAGCTGGAAAAGTCATACTTCTGCTGTGGCCTGGGTGGAGACTAGGAAATGAGAGGCTGAGGGATTCTAGGTCACAGGATCTGCAGGAGAAGATTCACAGCCAGATAAGCTTAGGAAACAATGAATGCAGACTCTGAAGATCATGAGCCAGGTGGTAGGTCTGGGAGACGGCAAAGATTGTGTGGTTTTCTTTACCATTGCTCTAGTGTCCGTATGTGGGGGTGTCTTTCAGTGAGTGGATGTTGTACTACTGGGGCCTTCAGCAGAGTGGACTGATTGAAACGCAAGGTTAGCATTTCCATCTAGAGGCATCCCCACCCAACCCAGTAGCTCTGTCCCATCAGCGCTATGCCCCTTTTGTGATGTTGAAAGCCTTTGTGCTAGGGGCTGGGAAGGTGGCTCAGTGGTAGAGTGATTGCCTTGTATGCATGATGCCCTGGGTTCAATTCCTCAGCACCACATAAGCAGAAAAAGCCGGAAGTGGCACTGTGGCTCAGGTGGTAGAGTGCTAGCCTTGAGCTGAAGAGCTCAGGGACAGCGCCCAGGCCCAGAGTTCAAGCCTCACAACCGATTTAAAAAAAAAAAAAAAAGCCTTTGTGCTTAAGTTCTCAAGTTAAGCATTCCTTCCCAGAATTTGGAGCATATCTCAGTGAGGCCACTCCAGGGAGGCAGAGGTGGCTGAAGTAGCTGTAAGCAAACAGGTAGCCTAGGTCTTGGGGAGGCCTGTGTCCTTTGTGCATCTTTTTCCATTCTATACTCAGTGTTAGGCAGCACTGAGGTGACAGTGCCCAAGGGTCCTGTCTTCTAAAAAGTAAGGGAAGTGTGGAATGATCCCAACCTGGAAGCCATGCCTCCCTTATCGCTTTGGGCCTGGCAGAGCCAAAGGTAGGTGGATCTGGAGCAACTCCCGCTGTGACCAGGTCCTTGAGCTCTCCCACTGTTTTCCTCATTCAAAAAGGAGAGAAAAGGATCATGGATGCCTGGCAGCCACTTGGGAATCAGAACAGGTATGTGTACCTACAGAATGCTCACAAGTGCTTGCAGTAGCAAATTCAGGATTATTATCAGTTATTTTTATTTTTCATGTGATCCATGGCCGGAAAGGCTGCCAGCTAAACTTGAACTCCAGACATGAATTTCGCACCTTTTGTTCTCTGTTTATTTTGATTGTAGGACTAAAATTGAACCCAGGGTCTCCAGGCTACAAGGAAAGTGCTCTATCACATGAGCTATACCCAAACTCTTCTGCTTTCATTTTGATTTTGAGACAGTCTCAATACCTTTATCCTGGGCTGGCCTTGAACTATGATCTTTTACTTGTCTCTTAAGTAGTTAGGATTACAGATACATACCAGCATGCCCAGCTATCTTTTCTTATTTCTCTGGGCTAGTAAGTGTCAGTGATCTTATGTAGGATGAGTATGTTGATTGAGTGGTCCAGGAAGACAAGTTAGCTCATGCCAGGGAAGGGCACACCGTGGTCCTAGGTTCCTTGGACCACCTGTGACCATGGAGGAGTCCTGGGAACCACACACTGAGGGGCCCAGCTGCCTCCACCCACCTCCACATCTGCACTTTCAGTCCTTTTTTCAGTTGCTAAACTTTCATTTCGGAGATATGGCCTGGTCTACTGCTTCCTGTTTTTACTACCCAGGCAGTTGTAGCTGGTGATTGCTGTTACCCTGGCCTTGCTGTGCTTGGGATCCTGCCTGGAGCTCCTCCTCTTTAAAACTTCTTTATCTTGCCAGTTGTAAGCCCCCAGACAGTCTGGGGAACAAGAGTTCCCCACCCAAGAGGTTTAGCAGGAAGCTGTGGTCATACCTCTAAGTCTGTCAGCTCCTTCTGCAGCCCAGTGTGAACTTGTATTGTAGGTTGGCTATAACCTCTCTCTGTAAATAAACTTTCATGAGAACAGCCATACCTGTTCATCCACAAATTGTCTCTCTGTAATTGAATGGGGAGAGTTGAATGATTGTATTTGAGACCTTATAGCAAAACTTCTATTTGCTGACCTTATTTGGTCTTTGCAGAAAGTAGTCTGCTGACCCCCTACTCTAGAGACCTTAGGGGTCCTACCTCATAGGGACTTTTGTGGCCCAAAAGACAGAGGGGATGTTCTATATGGGAGCCCTTTGGAATAGAATTTTTGAGACAGGGACAGTTCTAGTTTCAGTGTTCTCATTTATTTAATACTCCTTATAATAATTCCTGCCACTTACTATGTGCTAAAGTTGCGCCAGGCACTTAAGGGCTTTGTATGTTTTAGTCCTTTTAACAGCCCTCTGAGGGAGGTGTCATAGTTAGCCTTCCTGTTGTTCAGATGGGAAACTGAGGTACGGTGATGAAAAGTGACTTGTCAGCCAGGTACTGGTGGCTCATGCCTATAATCCTAGCTATTCAGGAGACTGAGATCTGAGCATCATGGTTCAAAGCCAGCTTGCGCAGGCAAGTCCATGAAACTCTTATGTCCAATAAACCACGAAAAAAAGCTGGAAGTGGAGCTGTGACTCTAGTAGTAGAGTACTGCCTTGAGGGTTAAAAAGAAGAGAAAAAAAAACCCTCAGTGACAGCACCCAGGCCTTGAGTTCAAGCCCCAGGACTTGGGGCACAAAAAAGAAAAGTGAGCTGGGTGCTGGTGGCTCACGCCTGTAATCTTAGCTACTCAGGAGGTTGAGATCTGAGGATCGTGGTTCAAAGCCAGCTGGGGGAGGAAAGTTCGTCAGACTCTTACTTCCAATAAACGACCAGAAAACCAGAAGTAGAGCAGTGGCTCAAGATGTAGAGCACTAGC